ATGAAGTGACTGAGAAAGAAATCAGAGAAACATCACCTTTTACAATAGCCAAAAACAGCATCAAATATCTGGGGATAATGTTAACCAAGGAAGTGAAGGACCTGTATATCAAGAACTTTGTGTCTTTGAAGAAAGAAATCAAAGAACATACCAGAAAATGGAAAGATCTCCCATGCTCTTGGATTGGTAGGATCAACATAATAAAAATGGCAATCTTGCCAAAAGCAGTCTACAGATTCAATGCAATCCCTATCAAAATTCCATCACAATTCTTCAAGGACCTGGAAAGAACATTAATCAACTTTATATGGAAAAACAAAAGGCCCAGGATAGCCAAAACATTCCTATATAATAGAGGAACTTCAGGAGGCATCACCATGCCTGACTTCAAGCTCTATTATAGAGCTATAGTCCTGAAAACAGCTTGGTATTGGCACAAAAGTAGGCAGGTAGACCAATGGAACCGAATCGAAAGCCCTAATTTTAACCCACACACCTATGAACACCTGATTTTTGACAAAGAAGCTAAAACTGTACAATGGAAAAAAGAAAGCATCTTCAACAAATGGTGCTGGCATAACTGGGTACTGGTATGCAGAAGACTGAAGATAGATCCATGTTTATCGCCTTGTACAAAACTTAAGTCCAAATGGATCAAGGATCTCAACATAAATCCAGCCACACTGAAACTTTTAGAAGAGAAAGTGGGAGATACTCTTCAACGAGTTGGTACAGGAGACCACTTCCTAAACATAACACCAGTGGCACAGGCACTGAGATGGACAATTAACAAATGGGACCTTTTGAAACTAAAAAGCTTCTGTAAGGCAAAGGACACAGTCAAAAAGACAAAAAGGCAGGCCACAGAATGGGAAAAGATATTCACTAACCCTACATCTGACAGAGGGCTAATCTCCAAAATTTACAAAGAACTCAAGAAACAAGTCTCCAAAACACCAAAGGATCCACTTGAAAGGTGGGGTACAGAGCTAAATAGAGAATTCTCAGTAGAGGAGGCTAAAATGGCCAAGAGACACTTAAGAAAGTGCTCAACATCCTTAGCCATCAGGGAAATGCAAATCAAAACAACTCTGAGATACCATCTTACTCCTGTCAGAATGGCTAGAATCAAAAACACCGAAGACAATTTATGCTGGAGAGGATGTGGAGAGAGAGGAACACTCCTCCACTGCTGGTGGGAATGCCGACTCATACAGCCTCTTTGGAAATCAGTATGGAGATTCCTCAGGAAAATGGGAATTAATCTACCACTAGACCCAGCAATTCCACTCTTAGGCATTTATCCAAATGAGGCAGGTTCATACAACAAGGGCATCTGCTCCACTATGTTCATAGCAGCATTGTTTGTAATAGCCAGAACCTGGAAGCAACCTAGATGCCCCTCAACTGAAGAGTGGATGGAGAAAATGTGGTACATTTACACAATGGAGTATTACTCAGCAGAAAAAAAACAATGGAATCTTGAAATTTGCAGGGAAATGGATAGCACTGGAAGAAACCATCCTGAGTGAGGTAACCCAGTCGCAAAAAGACAAACATGGTATATACTCACTCATATATGGATTTTAGACATGGATCAGGATAGTGCCAGTCTGCACTTCCACAGATAGAGAGTCTGGGAAACAGGAAAGAACCTAAAAGATATGCATATATGCATAGTACCCAAGAGAAGAGGATGGAGACAAGATCCTCTGAATGGATGGGGAACAAGGCGAGGGGAGGGGGGGAGTGGGACCTGGGAAGAATAGAGGGGGTAAAGAGGAAGGGAGTTGGTCACGGGGGAACAGGAAGTTGAGGGGGTGGGGGTAGAATAGGGGAAATGGGAATCATAGGATCGAAGACAGATCAGGCACCAGAGTGACCTCGAGTGATCTAAAGGTATAACATCAATTGGCAAGCTAAGCAATAGTGGAGGGACCACCTCAAATGCCCATTCCTGATAATGAACTTGATGTCTATAACCATCCGGGAGCCTTCATCCTGTGACTGATGGAAGCAGAGGCAAACACACAACTAATCACTGAACTGAACCCAAGGAACCCAGTGACAGAGAGGAGTGATGAGCAAATTGGCAAAGAATGGGCTGGCAAAACCAGCAGAGACAGCTGATCTGAACAGGGGAGTGCCCTTGAACCCCAGACCAACAGTGGGGAGGCCAGCATGGGACTGATCTGGAACCCCCAAATGTGAGTGTCAGCGAGAAGGCCTGGGCAACCTATGGGGCCCTGAGCTGTGGATCAGTGTCTATCCCTGGTATACAAACTGTCTTCATGTGCCTATAGCACAAAGAGAGATGCTCTCTCAGCCTGGACTCTTAGGGGAGTGCCTTGACCCTACCAAGAGTAAAATTACAGACTCTAGATATCCCCTATGTGGAAGGATTTGGCAATAGGGTGGGAGGGGGGGAAGGGGAGTGCGGGAAGAGGGGAGGGAGAGGGAACTGGGATTGACATGTAAAACAAGCTATTTAAAATTAAAATAAAAAATGAAAAAAAAAGATGCCAATTCATACAACAAGGACATCTGTTCCACTATGTTCATAGAAGCATTATTTGTAACAGCCAGAACCTGGAAGCAGCCTAAATGCCCCTTAATTGAAGAGTGGATAGAGAAAATGTGGTACATTTATACAATGGAGTACTATTCAGCAGAAAAAGAAAACAATAGAATCTTAAAATTTGCAGGCGAATGGATGGCACTAGAAGCAACCATCCTGAGTGATGTAACCCAGTCACACAAAGACAAACATGGTATTTACTCACTAACATATGAATTTTAGACGTGCATCAGGGGAATGTCAGCTTACAATCCCACTGCCAGAGAGTCTGAGAAACAGAACTTTCAACCAATGACTGATGGAAGCAGAGGCAGACACCCACAGCTGAACTCAAGGGACCCACTGACAGAGAGGGAGGACTGATGAGCATAGGGGTCAAGCCTGTGCTTGTTTAACCCACAGAAACAGCTAACCTGAATAAAGGGGGGGCTTTGAACCCTAGACTGATTGTTGGGAATCCAGCATGGGACTGACAAGACCCTCTAAATGTGGGTGTCAGTGAGGAGGCCTAGGCAATCTATGGGACCTTGGGTAGTAGATCAGCATTTATCCCTGCATACAAATGGACTTTGGGTACCCATCCCACAATGAAAGATGCTCTCTCAGTCTGAACTCTTGGGGGGAGGTTCTAGGCCCTGACCTGGATGAAATGACAGACTGTGGACACCCCCCCATGGAGGGTCTCACCCTCCCTGGGGAAAGGAGTGGGGATTGTGAGAAGGGGTTGTTGGGTGGGGTGAGTGGGAGGGGGTGGGAGGAGGGGAGAGAAAGGGAGAGGGACCTGAGATTGACATGTGAAGCAACCTTGTTTTTAATTTAAATTTAAAAATAAATAAAAAAGAATATGTGTGACTTGCAGAGAATTTAGATTCAATTCCCAACACCTACATATTGACTATAGTTCCCCAGAACATGGTGCCCACTTCTGACTTCTGAGGACACTAGGCAGGCAGGAGTTCACATACATACATAAATACAAGCAAAACATTCATACGTATGAAATAAATGAAGGCAATTCTTTTAGGGCTTTGCATGCCTACCTGCAAATTTCTCTAGTCTTATAAATTTACATTGCTTAGCAGATAACTAGATGTCCATACTACTTCTACTGTGCTAATGGAACAAAAGGAATTTGTGTCATCAGATGCTAGAGGGTACCAATTTTATAATCTCACTGGCTATAAATAAATAAGGCTATCAAATCTCTGATGTCCAGAAAAAAAGAACTCAAGACATTTGATACTCGCCAAATGTCGTTTCTGTGCAAATGTTCAGGCATTAACCTTGCTGTCCCTCAGCCGCTTAACTCACAGTTTCTTCTGTGGTCTGGGTATCTAAATGGGCATGCCATTTGGAGTTGATGTGGGGAAGTAGCATCAAATAGAAACTACTAAGCTACTAAGAGACTGTGGCGATGTTACAAGGTGATCAATGGCAATTTTTTTCTTCTGAAGGAACATTACATTTTTCCTTCGGGTTTTGCTTTAATACTTCAGTAAATGATAAGTAATATGAATGGCTTTCTGTTTGTTTGTTTGTTTGTTTTCAAAGAAGGTTGTAGGCCAGGCTTGCTTGGAACTCCACTTCACTGGAGTTATAAACAGTTATAGGTTATAGCCATCTCAGCCAAGGACTTGAACTCAGGTCCTCATACTAGCATGACAAGCGCTTTATTCACTGATAGTTCCTAATCCCATGTCTTATGTTTTTCAGTGAGTAGGTCTGCCACAATTGCTGGATTAAGAATGTAAAGTCTGATCCTAACACAGAACATTGAAAAGAATAGAGCTAAAGATGAGCTCAAGAGCAATGGTTCACAGTACAGAGGCTTCTGGGAGCCCTGGAACACATTAAAACCATCCCAGCCAACTCAGGAAGTGATAACCTCACTCTGTGTTTGTTTCTCCTAGGCATTACAGCCTTTAAACACAGTTTCCAAAAGGAGAGCAGGCACTTTCTAAAGCCTCTTGAAGGATGTTTGGCACCTGTTTTGTTAGTAAAATGCAAGAAATCACAGCATACTTCTGCCTCCCTAGTATGCCCTAGGAGGGGCATTTCTGCCCTCCTGCACTGTAAACACACATTGCATAACTCAGCCTCTCTTAGTCTGGTAAACATTCCACACAGCTTCCTGGTTTTTATGCTGCTGTTTTTGGTGTGTGTGAGAGAGAGAGAGAGAGAGAGAGAGAGAGAGAGAGAGAGAGAGAGAGAGAGAGAGAGAGAGAGAGAGAGAGAGAGAGAGAGAAAGAGAGAGAGAGATCAACAAACCACTGAACAAGTATGCATTAGTGAGGAATTCTCACCAAATACTAGGGCCCCATGGGGGCAGTGGGTATAGGATTTCACTTAATTGCTCCACCCACATACTGCATATGTCAGGAGGTAAGGGCTTTCCTTGGTGTTAAAACAATCAGGTACTTACCTGGTCAGATCTTTTAAGCCAACACCAAGCCCTCAGTGGCGAAGTTGTTCTGTATTTTCTCTTCCGAAACCCATGTTTTCAGATAGACAAGGCGGCGCATACTATAATACCAGCAGCTGTCATGGGACTGAAGCATGGAAATTGCTGCAAATATGACACCAGCCTGGGATACATACATACATACATACTGTCTAATAAATAAATAAATAAATAAATAAACAAACAAGCAAACAGGTTTGAGAAGATGACTCAGACAGTAAAGCACTTGCCATGCAAGCATGAAGATCAGAGTTCTGCTTTCCAGAACACACATAAATACTGAACAGGTGTGCTGGTATTGCTGGCATGCCTGTAATCCCAATAACGGGGCACAGAGAAGGAGATCTCTGGGTGCAAACTAGTTACCTACAAACTAGCCAGACAGGTGATCTCTGAGTTCAGGTGAGAGACCCTGCCTCATTATATAAGGGAGTGACCAAAGAAGGTAATTAATGCCAATTTTGGCCTCCATATGGACACCTGCACGTAAACATGTGCCCCAATACATACACACACAAAATTCAACAAGTAATTGCTGAGGACACAGTGAAGTCGTCTAGCATACATGAAGCCGTGGATTTGGTCCTCGGTGTTACACAAACTGGGAGTGGTGGTATATGCTTGCAATAGCAGCACTTGGAATGTAGGGAAGATGGATCAGGAGCTCAGGGCTACGCTTGGCTCCTGTGATAGTCAGAGTTCTCTAGAAGAAACAGAATGAGTATATATCACAAGGGGTGGGCCATAGACTGGCGTACATGACACTGGACATGCTGAGAATCCAGTAGCTTCTTGCTCAACAAAAGAAAGCAGCAATAGCAAAAGCCTCGGCAGCAGTAACACAGTAGATGAACTCACTAGCTACGCATGAAAGCAAGCGTGTCAGCAGCAAGAAACTTTTCCTTTTGCTGACACCAAACCCAACTTCTTCAGCCTTCCAACGTATATTGCATCTTCCGGGGTCAGACTGGTACTGCTGAGGCACCTCACTTTGTTTACCAAGAAGCTACACAGTGAATTGGAGACCAGAATGGAACACATGAGAACTTGTCTCAAAAAACAAAAACAAAAACAGGACGTGGAGATAGGGCTCAGCAGTTAAGAGCACTTTCTGCTCTTCCAGAGGATCTGGGTTCAATTCCTGGCACCCACAAGTTGGCCCAGAACTATCTGTAACTGCAGATCAAGAGTATCCATTGCCTTCTGCCTTCTGGGGTCACCAGACACAAATGTTGTACACAGGCATGCATGGAGGAAAACATTCACACACATACACTTTCCTGAAATATATAAGCCAAAACTCAAATAAATAAGAAAAGTAAAACTATTTTAATACCACATTATGTGTGGAATTGCTGCTGGGGGAAGCCTGATGTAAAAACCACACACTAAGAACAAAGAACAACTTTGACATATTCATCACACATATGAACCTTTGAAACATATATGTAAGTGCTGGGGTATAGCTCGGTGCTATAGATACATTTCAGATGCTAGAGGCCCTGGGTTCAGTGCTTCCAGTGTGCATCTACTAATTTTATTATTAATACATGTGTATCAGATAGAAAATCTGAGGCTCAAACACGCTATGCAAGGGAACAGGCTAAAGAACTAGGATAGACGTGTCCTTCTGGACCAAATCCTTCCTTCTGTATACTTTCTGCTACTGTGACGGGAAGGTAGGGATACCCAGAGAGAGGTACCTACACTGACACATGAAAGGCTCATCTGCAAGACTACTTGGCACTAAACCCAAGTACGCGTGATCCCTGAACCTACAGGGTGGGAGACGAGGACAAATTCATACAGGTTGTATTCTGACTTCCACAAGTGTGCTATGGTGCACAGAGAGAGAGAGAGAGAGAGAGAGAGAGAGAGAGAGAGAGAGAGAGAGAGAGAGAGAGAGAGAGAGAGGAATTTAGACGTTAATGTATGAAAAATAGGCATGACCTTTAATCCCATTATTCAAGAAGCAGAGGCATGCAGACACCTGTGAATTTGAGGCCAGCCTTGCTTATTTAATAAGTTCCAGGCCTGCCAGGACTGCCTAGCGAGATGCTGTTTCGACAACAAACACAAGAACAAAAAAGCAAAGAAACAAAAAATAACATGTAAAAGCAGCTACTGATAGAAAAAGCCTGACAGTTCTTCCCTCCCTGGGTAACACACAGCATGTGTGAGAAAAGCCTGTGATATATAAACCTGGGAAGGCAGGTGCTTTGTAAATGACCTATGAAGTCATGAGATTCATGGCCCAAGCTTTTAAGCTTGTCTTCTCCAAGTTTACTGCCCACTCTCAATCTCAGGTGTGTCTTCCTCTTGCCTTCCTTTCTTCTTTCTTTCACTAAATGTATATTTATTTGGGGTCTAGAAAATTGGCTTACTGCATCTCCCCATACCTGCGCACCCGGCTTCAGGTGGGCTTGGGTCCTCCTGGGGACCCAATCCCCGCCCATCACACCCTCCCTCAATCTTCCAGGGGCCCACTCCTGGCATTGAGAGGACCCACCCAGAGAGGAAGGGAAGTGAGTCCTGCCAGAACCCACCCTCAGCTCTCCCCATACCCATGCACCCAGCTTCAGTGACACCAGTGGAGACAGAGAGACCCCAACCTGCTCCCACTCAAAGAAGGGATGGGAACACACTCAGCAATAGAACGACCAATATGACTCCACCAGAATCTACAGACACCACACCAGCAAGACCTGAAAAGCACAACATAGATGAAGCAGAAGAGACAGACCTTAAAAATCATTTTATGAAGATTATAGAAACCCTCAGAGAGAATACAAGGGAATCCCTTAAAGAAATAGAAGGTGAGTCAAACCAAAAAATTGAAGAAATAAACAAATCTTTAAAGACTCTAAAGAGAGTCAAGAAAAAACAAACAGGTGAAGGAAACAACCCAAGCAGACCAAGCCTTGAAACCCGAAATAGAAACAATAAGGAAAACACAGAATGAGGGGATGCTGGAAATAGAAAAGCTGGGTAAACTATCAGGAACTACAGATGTAATTATAACTGATAAAATACAAATCCAGCCCTACAGAAAATACTGGAAGGAAAACTTCAACCCAACAAAGATAACTAGACTCACAACGATGTAGGCAATAGATAATCCCACTTTACCAAACACCAAAAGAAAAAGGGAGGAAACCCACACACAATAACACCACCACCAATAAATCCAAAACAAACAAGAATCAACAATCAATGGTCATTAATACCCCTCAGTGTCAACAGTCTCAACTTGCCTATAAAAAGACACAGATTAACAGAATGGATACGAAAACAGAACTCATCCTTCTGCAGCATACAAGAAACTCATATCATTGTCAAAGACAGATCATACCTCATAGTAAAAGACTGGGAAAAGTTTTTCCAACCAAACGGACCCAAGAAACAAGTTGGTGTAGCAATCCTAGTATCTAACAAATTAGACTTCAAATTAAAATCAATCAAAAGAGATGAAGAAGGATATTTCATATTCATCACAAGAAATGTCCATCAAGATGAAGTGTCAATTCTGAACATCTATGCCCCAAATACAAAGGCACCCACATTCATGAAAGAAACATTACTAAAGCTCAAATCACACATAAAATTGAACACACTAGTAGTAGAAGACTTCAACACTCCGTTTTCACCACTAGACAGCACCTCCAAACAGAAACTTAACAAAGAAACAAAAGAACTAACAGAAGTTATGACCCAATTGGGTTTAACAGACATCTATGGAACATTCAAGCCAAACACAAAAGAATATACATTCTTCTCAGTGACACGTGAAACATTCTCTAAAATTGACCACATAATCAGAAGCATGGCAAACCTCCACAGATAAAAAAAATTGGAATAACGCCCTGTATCTTATCAGACCACCATGCTTTAAAATTAGAATTCAACAAAACACAAATCACAGAAACCCTACAAACTAATGGAAATTAAACAATGCACAATTGTACCGTGCCTGGGTAAAGGAAGAAAAAAAAAAGAAACTAAAGACCTCCTGGAATTTGGCCGGGAGATGGTGGCGCATGCCTTTAATCGCAGCACTAGGGAGGCAGAGGCAAATGGATCTCTGTGAGTTCGAGACCAGCCTGGTCTACAAGAGCTAGTTCCAGGACAGCCTCCAAAGCTACAGAGAAACCCTGTCTCAAAAAAAAAACAAAAAGAAAAAAAAAGACTTCCTGGAATTCAATGAGAATGAAGACACAACATATCCAAACTTAGGGACACTTTGAAAGTAGTGCTGAGAGGAAAGTTCATAGCACTGAGTGCCCACATGAAGAAACTGGGGAATAGTTATACTAGAGAATTAACAGCACAACTGAAAGCTCTAGACCACAAAGAAGCAAATTCACCCAGGAGGAGTAGATGCCAGGAAATAATCAAATTGAGGGCTGAAATCAATCAAGTAGAAACCAGGGAAACATTGCAAAGAATCAATGAAACAAAGAGTTGGTTGTTTGAGAAAATCAACAAGATAGGCAAACCTTTATCCAAACTAACCAAAAGGCAGAGAGAGAGCATGCTAACTAACAAAATCAGAAATGAAAAGGGGGACATAACAACAGACACTGAGGAAATTCAGAGAATCATCAGGTCATACTTTGAAAACCTGTACTCTACAAAATTCAAAAATCTAATGGAAATGGACAATTTTCTGGATATCACTTGCCAAAATTCAATCAAGAACAGATAAGCAAATTTAACAGACCTATAACCCCTATTGAAATAGAAGCAGTCATCAAAAGTCTCCCAACCAAAAAAAAAAAAAAAAAAGCCCAGGCCCAGATGGCTTCAGTGCAGAATTATTCCAGAAATTCAAAGACGAGCTAATTCCAATACTCCTCAATCCTCAAAGTGTTCCACACAATAGAAGCAGGAAGTTCACTGCCAAACTCTTTTTACAAAGCTACAATTACCTTGGTACCCAAGCCACACAAAGACAAAACTAAGAAAGAGAACTATAGACCAATTTCCCTCATGAACATTGATGTAAAAATACTCAGTAAAATACTAGCAAATCGAATCCAAGAACACATCAGAAAAATCATCCACCATGATCAAGTAGGCTTCATCCCAGGAATGCAGGGATGGTTCAACGTATGAAAATCTATCAATGCAATTCACCATATAAACAAACTACAAAGAAAAAAACCAAATGATCATCTCACTAGATGCTGAAAAAGTCTTTGACAAAATCCAACAACATTTCATGATAAAGGTCCTAGACAGACCAGGGATAACAGGAACATACCTGAACACAATAAAAGCAATAAACAGTAAACCAACAGCTAACATCAAACTAAATGTAGAGAAACTCAAATGCAACGAGACAAGTCTGTCCACTCTCTCCATATCTCTTTAATATTGTACTTGAAGTTCTAGGGAAAGCAATAAGACAACAAAAGGAGATCAAGGGATACAAATTGGAAAGGAAGAAGTAAGTCTTTCACTATTTGCAGATGATATGATAGTTTACATAAGTGATCTGAAAAACTCTACAAGGGAACTTATACAGCTGATAAACACCTTCATCAAGGTGGCAAGATACAAGGTTAACTCAAAAAAATTAGCAGTCCTATTGTATACAGACGATAAATAGGCAGAGAAAGAAATCAGAGAAACAGCACCCTTTATAATAGCCACAAATAACATTAAATATCTGGGGATAACACTAAACTAACAAGTGAAAGACCTCTATAGCAAGAACTTTGAGTATCTAAAGAAAGAAATTTAAAAAGATACAAGAAAATGCAAAGATCTCCCATGCTCTTGGATAGGTAGCCATAGTAAAAATGACAATCTTGCCAAAAGGAGTCTACAGATTCACAATCCCCATCAAAATACCGGCACAATACTTCACAGACCTTGAAAGAACAATAATTAACTTTACATGGAAACACAAAAGACCCAACATAGCCAAAATAACCCTGTACAATAAAGGAAATTCTGAAGGCATCACCATCCCTGATTTCAAGCTCTACTATTGAGCTATAGTCCTGAAAACAGCTTGGTATTGGCACAAAAATAGACAGGTAGACCAATGGAAGTAAATTTAAAAACCCTGATAGTAACCCACACACCTACAAACACTCAATTTTTGACAAAGAAGCTAAAATTATACAATGGAAAAAAGAAAGCATCTTCAACAAATGGTGCTGGCATAATTGGATATTGGCATGTAAAAGACTGCAGATAGATCCATGTCCATCGCCATGCACAAAACTTAAGTTCAAATGGATCAAAGACCTCAACATAAATCCAGCCACACTGAATCTTTTAGAGGAGAAAGTGAGAGGTACCCTTGAAATAATTGGTACAGAGACCACTTCCTGAACATAATACCAGTAGCATAGACACTGAGATCCACAATTAACAAATGGGACCTCCTGAAACTAAGAAGTTTCTGTAAGCCAAAGGACACAGTTACCAAGACAAAAAGGCAGTCCACAGAATGGGAAAAGATATTCACTAACCCCACAACTGACAGAGGGCTGATCTCCAAAATTTACGAAGAACTCAGGAAGCAAGTCTCCAAAACACAAAAGTATCCAATCAAAAAGCGGGGTACAGAACTAGAGAATTCTCAATAGAGGAGTCTGCAATGACTGAGAGACACTTGAGAAAGTACTCAACATCCTAAGCCATTAAGGAAATACAAATCAAAACAACTCTGAAATACAATCTCATTCCTGTCAGAATGACTAAAAGCAAAAACACCAATGACAATTTATGCTGGAGAGGATATGGAGAGAGGGGAACACTCCTCCATTGCTGGTAGGAGTGTCAACTTGTACAGTCACTTTGGAAATGAGTATGGATATTCCTCAGGAAAATGGGAATCAGTCTACCACAAGACCCTGCAATTCCACTCTTAGTTATATACCCAAAAGATGCACTTTTATACAACAAGGATGTCTGTTCCACTATGTTAATAGGAGAGTTATTTGTAATAGCCAGAACCTGGAAGCAACCTAGATGCCCCTCAACTGAAAAGTGGATAGAGAAGATGTGGTACATTTACACAATGGAACACCATTCAGCAGGAAAAAAAAAAACAACGGAATCTTGAAATTTGCAGGCAAATGGACAGCACTAGAAGAAACCATTATGAGTGAGGTAACCCAGTCACAAAAAGACAAACATGGTATGTACTCACTCATATATGGACTTTAGACATGGATCAGGGGAGTGCCAGGCTAAAATCCCACTGCCAGAGAGTCTGGAAAACAGGAAAGAACCTAAGAGAGATATGCATAGTACCTCAGAAAAGGGTAATGAGGCAAGAGCTCCTGAGCAGATTGGGAGCTTAGGGGGGAGGGGAGAGGGAGCTGGAAATAGAGAGGGGGAGAAGAGCAGGAGAGAGAAGGTCATGGGGGAGCATGAAGGTTGAAGTTGGGGGAAGAATAGGGGAGAACAGAATGAGAAATAACATTATAGAGGGAGTCATTATAGGTTTGAGCAGAGATCTGGCACCAGTGAGATCTCTAGAGATCTACAAAGATGACACCAACTGGCAAACTAAGCAATAGAGGAGAGACTAACTTAAATTCCCATCCTTGGATGTGAACTTGACGACTTCCTTATTTGCCATTCTAGAACCTTCATCCAGTGACTGATGGATGCAGAGGCAAACACCCACAGCTAAACATTGAACTGAACTCCTGGAAACCAGCGACAGAGAGGAAGGGGTAAAAAAAAAAAATGGGCTAGTGAAACTAACAGAAACAGATGACCTGAACAAGGAGGAGCTCTTGGACCCCAGACCAACAGCTTGGAGGCCAGCATGGGACTGATCCAGTGTCAGTGAAGAGGCCTGGACAATCTATGGAGCCCTGGGCAGTAGATCAGTATGTATCCCTGGCATACAAATGGACTTCGTGTGTCCATACCACAAAGAGGGATGCTCTCTCAGCCTGGACTCTTGGAGGAGGGGGCCCTGCCATGAATGAAATGACAAACTTGGGATATACCCCATGGAGAAGGGAGTGGGGATAGTGTGAGAGGCTGGGGGAACTGGTGGGGAGGTGCGGTAGAGGGGAGGGAGAGGGAGCTGGGATTGACATGTGAAGCAAGCTTCTTTCTAATTAAAAAAATATAATAATAATAATAATAATAAAAGAGTTGATAATAAACTGAAGCAACTGTATCTTTAAAAAAAAAGAGTGCTTACTGCTCCTACAGAGGACCCAGGACCCATATACCCACTTACAACTGACTGCAACTGTGGTTCCTGGGGATCCAATGCTTTTTCTGACCTCATGAGGCTCCTGAGTTCACTCAAACACATACATGTACACACAAAATGAAATAAATAAATCTTCGAGTATCCCCCTGCTACCCAATAATCCCCCCTTCCCAGTTCTCAGTGCCCTAAAACTCACTATGTCAACACACAGCTGTGGTGACTTTCACACTAAATCTATGACATCCCCAGGCACAGGTTGCACAAGCGTACAATAGAAAGCAGGGATTCTTTTCTGTAGTTCCACAAGGTGAGATATGAAAGTGCGCCAGTGCTTCAGGAGCCCTCAAAATATCAGCAGCTGTTTATATTTGCAAGCACAGAAAGTGAATGTGTTAGGAATCATAGACATTTTTTGCTTGACTATAAGAAGCCCCAATGTTGCCGGGCGGT